AAATATTATTTCTTAATTTTATCATTAATTAATCTTATCCCCAACAGAATTACTTCTAACAACAAATATAAAATATTAATCCATTTATAAATTATATATATATAACAACAAACTATTCATTATTAAAGTTTTAATGACATGCGGTGCAATTAAGTACAAATTATTCTTTACGGAGTCCGAACATAGCTCTGTGGAGTCCGAACATAGCTTTGCGTCCGGACTCTAATAAAATGTTGACACCAGGAGCTTGACGACCGACCTGACCCAAGATGAAAATTTTAATCCTGTAGTGAAATTTTAAATTTGTGGCAAACTAAAAATCGCAGTATTTGAACGTTCCACCTCAGGCATGACCTTCCCACTCAAACCCCTCGTTTCTTCATCGGAATGGCAGCTCGGATGGCCCGAAATTCCCTTCTCCACTGGAATAATGGCGGCGATGTTCCACATTTCCTGAAAAACTTCTACTTTCAGCACTTTTTCTCCTCTTAGCGCTGCCATTAATGACAGTTTATCCCATAATATCATACTAAATTGGTAGAGAATAACAAATCTTTTTATTTTTTTTTTTGGGAAAAACAAATCTTTTTATTACATGCAGCAGCAGAGGTGGTGAGAATAACGAACCTCGTCCTTTCAGTTCGTGCTGACTTTAAGCCACTTACTCAGTGTTTTTTTTTTTTTTTTAAACCCTCTATAGGGGCCTACGCGTTCATTAAAAAAAACGGTTACAAAATCCTTAAAAGGCTCCATCAGCTCTCTACTGCTCAAACGAGCTACATTCCAAAAAGAAATAAAAATTCCTACGAGCCAGCGGATCCTTAATCTACGATTACAAAAATAATACGGGCTATTAAGAAATAGCACCCAAAAAAGAAGACGCCACTTGCAATTGACAACGTTCAGCTCCGCTCTCCTGCAAAAAATTCTGCAAAGAAAACTCAAAAAAATCATCAAAAAACAGCACAAGCAAAACCCACAAAAGCAACCACAAAGTGTTCTGATTTCTCCTCTGTAGCTTGGCTTTGATAGTTTAGTTGTTCTGTAGTTTTGCAACCAAAAAAAATAAAAAAAATCTACACTTTTTGTACAAGCTACTGAATTTAGATATTCTAATTAAGCTGATACTTTTGGTTTATTTATGTTGAAATCAACATATTTTTTGAGTGTTTGATATGGTATTATTATTTTTTGGGATAAAACCCACAAAAGGCCTACGTGTTATTTTAAAAGAAAATTATATGATTTTTAAGGGGAATCTTTAACTCACTATCACTCCATAGAGCTTCAAAAATAATCCAAAATAAAAAAACTAAGAGCCGATAGTTTCCACTAAGAAGAAATACATAATAAACTAGTAACAAGCTAGGGCGTCCAGGAACCACAACCGAAAAAGAATATGTTAATTGTTATACATGCTCATTTAAATAATTTTATTGAAAATAATTTTGATATGTTAATTTTTATTCTTTTTGATGATGTGTACTACTGTATACTATTTTGTATTATATTGTGTACTGCCATGTACTACTATATACTACTGTGCACCGTTGTGTATTCTCATAGTAACATTACATACTATTGAAAAAAATAATATTTTGAATATTATTTTCTTTTCATCTTTTTTTTTCTCTTTTTCATCCATATGTAAGCTCCACTAGCGGAACCATTTGTATGTGAGGGGGGGCAATTAGAGGTAGGGCTGTTTTGTAAATTTGCCCCCCCTCAAATATATTTTTTGCCCTAATCAAATCAATTTCTCCCAAATATCCCGCACAGCCGCCCCTTTTATCTCTTGCGACTGGCGAGCGACGGAGCGACCGAGCCAGAGAGGAGAGACTACCTTCAGGCTTCAACAGCGATGAATCTGCTTTCTCTTTCCTCTTCGACGCCGACGACAGACGGACACGGACTACAGGCGGCACCACGGCAGTGGCACTCGCCACTCGGCTCCTTCTCTCTTATTAAAGAATGGGTAACACTTTTTTTTCATTTTTTCTAAAATTTCCTTAGATATATTTTTTAAAATTTCATATTTTTCAACAAAAATGATATTTTTAGTCATTCTTATACACTACTTTAAAGGCAAATAATAGTAATTGAGCTTCTCCTTTGTGTATAATAATAGTAATGAGGTTCAAAAATCATTTTTATGAGTTGAAATAGAAAACAAGAAAAGTCATTACAATTAAAAGAAAGATGAAAGGGGCAGAAGAAGAAATGAGCAATTTACTGTGTATTGATGTGTACTGAACACTTTTTTTTCTAAGCCTTATTCTAATCCATAATTCAACTTCATTGTTGTTTAACCTTTTAAGTACATCATCCTCATGCATGCAACTCTACTAAATATTTGAATTAATTCATTTTTGACAATAATATATGCAATAATAATGTATTATTTACAAACAACCTTTATTATTATGTGATATTTTGTTCATGTTGATGCTGTGTACCACTGTTCAGTACTGCTCTATATCATTGTGTACAATGTCATATTTGCAATTACTTCTGCTTCTTGGGCTGAATATGAACGAAGATCACGAGCAAAATAAGATCCATGACAAAAACTTTTTCCCATGAAATGTATATAACTAGATCCCAACATTTTCTTTTCCTAGAAATAACAAAAACTATCAAAGAAGAATATATATAGCCCAAAGAACAAGGTGAATGAGCCCTCTCATGTCTTACTAATGAATATAATGCAGCTTGACTAGCATTGTACTGTGTTGCAAATGCAAGAACATAAACAGAGTACATGTATTGAGCTTATATAGAAGCAAAAATACTAAAAACATGCATTAATATATTTTTCTTCTATTGTACCTCAATGAGGCAGGAGTGTAATTAAAGGAACTTTTAAAATCAGTTTTCTTTTTACGAAGGTTACAAATGAATCACTTATTTTGCTTTCTTTTGCAACGAAGGATGATTAAATTTCACAATGCACATTCACATACTTGTGCAGAAACAAGAATGGCCAAACTGAATTTCTTTAACTATGGCCTGCACTTTTTTGTAAATATATTAGTCCACATTAAAGTTCAGTGAAAGCTTGCAATGAGTATCTCCTACTATGCTAAGCATTTATATATTTCTTTGATGAAATGGTACATTTTTTTATTGTACATAGCAGTACACAACATCGGAACACAAAAGCGGAACCCAGCAGCAGTACATAACATTAAAATGAACAAAACATCACATAGATAAAAGAGAAAAAATACATAATAATTACATCTGAGAAAATAAATGAACGTCCAAAAATTTGTCATTTTACGTAAAATTCTACATAGTTCATTTACAGATGCATGTGTTTTCGCAGCATTCGAGATATAAATTTTTTGAAGAGTACATTCTAAGAGAATGCGTATGAAACATCACAAAAAAACACAATTTTGCTGCATGTTCAGTTTATAAATTTCTTGTTGAATTATTTGGGCTTTTTTGAGAACTTGATATGCCTTGAAGGTGAACACAATTATGTCGTATTTGCTTTTATGACAAATTTCTCTGTTGAAAAATTAAGCATAGCGAAACATATTACCTCATAATATACATTAAAAAAAATTATTATGCAAGTAAAATGCACCTTACGCTTAAGCTTCTTCTTCTATTCTAATGGCTATGTAGAGGGGCAACGCCCCTGTGGGGGTTTCTAAGGGCAGCGCCCCGGAACAAATTTTGATTTACTATTTCTCTTTGTATTTGGTTCATCATTCCCTAACAATAACACAGCTATCTAATGTATTTAATTATATTTGGGGCAGTTGCCTAAAGACCATAGTATTTTAACATTTTTAGGGGGGGTGGACAATTGACTTAAAATCCTTATAATAAAGACTAAAAATTGCCTAAATAAGAGAATAATGAAATATTTTTTTTTAGGGGGGCAATTCCCCACCCCCCTTAAAAATGTTAATTGGAGTTCGGACGTAGATCGATCTACATTATGATAAAATAAAAATTCTTTTATGTTACACTTTATACAATTATATTGTTCTTTATTACAAATGATGACCTCTTTTTATGATGCATCACAAATAATAAAGTTAAAACTCCTATTTATACGTGAGCTTTTCAACTTTAATGGCATCATTTCACATAACTCAAAAATATCTACAATAAAAAAATTTTATATATTATTTCAAAAACAACTTTGATGACATCATGTCAGCACTTGATAAACCATTTACTAAAAAATTTAATCAATCAAAATTTTACTCAAAAAATATCTGATCTTTAAGTTGTAGAATGCTTTAAGATAAATCTACCTTATAAGATAATAATAATAGAAGATTATTAATAAAACATGAAATATATTGATAAATTAACAATATTCTCTTCTATCTATATGCAAATAATTGATTGTTACAATATTAAAATATGCAAATATCTTTTAAATGATAAAAACAACTAATTTTTTATATTAGGGTTTATAAAATGATACAAATTTGCATAAAAGAAATGTTCTATAATTAAATTCTTCCACATTGACATATGATTTAAAAAAAATATTTCTTAACTTTATCATTAATTAATATTATCCCCAACAGAAGTACTTCTAACAACAAATATAGAATATTAATCCATTTATTAAAAAAAATATAAAACAACAAACTATTCATTATTAAAATTTTAATCGCGTGCGGTGCAATTAATTAGCTGTTATTGTCGAACACAGTTTACTTTTGTAATAGCGAATGCTCTTCCAATAAAAAAATATAGAATTAAAGAGATACGGGAGAAGTACAGCTTGCATGTAAAGTGTTCCTCAACGCTCTCAACGAAGCTTCTCTTAACAAGTAAATCAATGTATACTGTAGTATACATATCTGACCACCACAGTAAGGACGATATTAAAGAAGCTTTTGTCAATGTCCTGAGCCCTCCATTAATATCTTCATGAAATATCAGGATCTTTCTTGCTATATAATGCTGAACATTCTGAAGTGGATTGCAAGCCTTGGTAGCTTTCAGAGGGTGATCAGGAGGAGAAGAGGAAGTGTGCTTATCTTTGCTAGCCTTGCTAGCTAAGCTCTTAATCTCCCTTCTTTTATTAATACATTATACCATTTATTGCTGACACATTGAAGCATTTGTTGTGTTATAATACTTTGTGAGTGATTAATGGCGTGGCTATCAGTTGATCACTCGTGGGTTATCACTTTTGGGATTCTAGGTACTAATTATTCTCCTTTTTTTATGAGGTTATATTGATTACCTTTAACTTCTTCTTTGGAAGATGAGGAGGAGCACCATTTGAGTTACTAGTGTATTGCTAAGTATTAGCTATGTATTAGTGTGTATTAGTTGTGTGTATTATTGTATATTAGTCAATATTCAGCAATACACAACTAATACATATCAATACATAGTAATATCTAATAATATGCTAGTCCAAACGTCATATTTTCATTGGAGTCCGGATGTAGCTCTATATCTGGTATCCACATATAATAATTTATTGATACATTTGGTTGAAGATACTACATAAGCTATCATAATTACAATCATTTTATCTAAAGAGATCTCGATCTCTACATAAGCTATCATTTTTCTTAAACTAAAATAATTTTATTCAATAAATATCATGTACAAAGAGCACATACACTCAATTATATACATATATGACATATCTTTAGAGTTATCCACTCTTGAAACTTGCAAAACTTCGGTAGATGTATGGGCGGATCCCTATATGGCTTAAGGTGGACAAATGCCTACCCTAAAAAAAGTTTATATATGGAGGATAAATTTGAAATTTTGACTCCTATATATATATATAGATTGTCAATTATATATATGGGCCACTTTATATATATTATATTTCATTATTGTAATTTAATTAAAATTGTTATTAGAGTGATATTAAAATAATTTTCAGTTATAAACTTATAATCACAATTTTAATAATATGTTTAAAATTACATTATTAGTTTCATTTCCTTTAAAAATGTACTTCTTATTTATATTTTAATCAAAATATCACCATATTTTAAAAAAAATGCAATAATTGATGATATGATTAAAAATATTTGTGACTAAAGTTGACTTTTTATGAATTTCTTATAAAATTATAGTTACACTTTTTAGTTACACTTTTTCAAAAAGTGTGATTAAAAAAGTGATTAAAGTTTAATATTTAGCCATATTTTTATAAAAATATTTAATTAAGGCTTTATTTGAGATGATTGTCTTACAGATTCTTAAAGTTGCGTTTACTATAAAAAAATTGCTTTAAAAAGCAGTAAGAAAATTATTTCAAACAAAACTTAAGACAGTGATTAACATTTAGTTAGCCTCTTTACTATATTGCTTCACTAACTCTTCACCGATTGATTTTGTAGGGAATGTCATCTCATTCATGGTGTTCCTGTCTCCACTGTACGTGCTTCGCTCAACTCAAATATAATTGACTTAGGCTTCATTTGGGACGGCTTTTTTACTGCTTTCTAAAACGGAGTTTTAATATAAAAATAAAAAAAATTGTATTAAAACTCCGTTTTATAAAGCAATAAAAAAGCCGTCCCAAACGAAGCCTTAGACTAATGTTGCTTTCTTATGTCATAAGATATATATAAATAAAAAAAAAATTGTGGCTGTATTTGCAACAAAAAAAATTTAATATAATAAAATTTAAAATTTCTAAAATGTTATGATATAAGTTTAATATATAGATCTAAGAGTATGAAATTAGTTATGATTATTTTTTAATTAAGATATCTTAATATAGAGTTTTTTCTATAAAGAATGTCAACAATGAATAATCATAATGGATATAAAGGAAATATTGCACTTATATTTTTAATTCATGATCGAGGGTCTATTTGAGGAGAAATATTGCACTTATAAAATTGTATTGATAATTAATAATTTTAAACTTATTTTCTAGCATTTAGCAACTCTACCTCAGCAATAGTTATCATTAAGAACTCAAAATAATCTAAGAAACATGACCAGTTAAAAAATCCTTTTGAATCTTATATAAGGTAATTATTTCTTGTATAACTATCTATAAAACTTAGGCTTCATTTGAGACAACTTTCTTATGACTTCTTAAAACAACTTTTTAGTAAAAAAATAAAATTTTAATATAAAAAGCCACTTTAAAAAATAAAACCTCAAAGATCATGAGTGACTAATTGATTCAATATGTTTCATTATAACCTGCAGGCCTACATTTTATCGAATCCTGCAGAAGAAATCAACTGAAGAGTTCAAATCGGAACCATATATTATTGCTCTTTTCAGTGCAATGCTATGGCTTTTCTATGCTTTCATCAAAACAAATGAGCTCCTCCTCATAATCATTAATTCAATCGGATGCGTTATTGAGATCTCTTACATCACCATTTTCCTAATCTTCGCTGCAAGAAAAGCTCGCGTAAGCGTATATTCATTCCATGTACTGAAAAATCTATAATCTTAAACTGTTTATAACGTTAAATACTGCAAACTCCATGCAGATATACGCAGCAAAGTTGATCCTCATTTTGATCGTTGGAGTTTTCTCGATAATTGTTCTCATCACCCTTCTCTTATTTAGAGGCTCTTCTCGCTTGCAAGTTCTCGGCTGGATCTGTGTCGCCTTTGCTGTTAGCGTTTTTGTCGCTCCTTTAAGCATCATGGTGAGTGAGAACAGGAATCCATCAGCACGTTTAGATTTCGTTTTAGACAACTTTTGTATTGCTTTCTAAAACGGTTTTAAAAAATTTTTGTACTAAAAAATTATTTAGAAAGCAAGAAGAAAACCGTCCCAAACGAACCCTTAGTTATAATTCAGATTCTTATAATAATTTGTGTCGTTGTTTTGGGTATCTACAGAAACGAGTTATACAGACTAAGAGTGTTGAGTTCATGCCATTTAACTTGTCCCTCTTCCTCACATTGAGCGGCATTTCATGGCTCTTCTATGGTTTGCTTTCCAAAGATATATATGTCATGGTAACTACTTCTCTTTGTGCATTTGAAGTATAGAATAAGGTTCCGTTTGGAATAGCTTTCTTACTGTTCTCTGTGAAACAGCTTTCTTCGAAAAAATTTTCAAATTAAAAAAACATGTACTAAGAAACTGCTTCTTATAAGAAGGCTGTCCAAAATGAATACTGTTTTTTAAAATAAATTTTGTACTAAAAAACTGCTTTAAGAAACAATAAGAAAGTCATCTTAGAACGAAGCTTAAAACTTCGTTTGGGACAGCTAGCTTTCTTACTGCTTCTTAAAGCAACTTTTTAGTATACAAATTTTTATTTGGATGCTAGAAATCTGCTTCAAGAAAGCCTTAAGCTTTGTTTGGAACAGCTTTCTTACTGCTTCTTAAAACAACTTTTTAGTATAAAATTTTTTATTTGGATGCTAGAAATCTGCTTCAAGAAGTATTAAGAAAGTCATCCCAAACTAAATCTTAGAGTTATAATTATGCATATTCTTTAAATAATATGGCTAATTTGACTCCATTCATGGGTGAAAATGCAGCTGCCAAACATACTGGGAGTTAGTTTTGGATTTGCGCAGCTGCTTCTCTACGTGATCTATAGGGGCAAAGAAGAGGTTCGCAGGGTTGATAAAGTGGGACCTGAGGTTGATACTAATGTGAATGTGGAAGAATGTATCAGTGACAAGAAACAAGACAACTACTCAAGCGAATTACGAGTGGAACAGATAGTGTGAAAGCCCAGTTTTAGCTGTGATGAAGAACTACGATACTTTGTATTGTTTTTTATAATTATGAAACTAATATCAAAGAGATAAAGTCTTTGTGATATGCTAAGCATAAGGATAGATATGAATTAGGCCTAGCTTGACCAAGTGGTTTGTATCTCGATCTTAGCCCTCAATAATAAAATTATAAGTTTTGTTCCTACTCCCAAACGCTTTCTTTCTGCTTCTTAAAGCTGAAATTTTTTAATTCAAAAGCTACTTTAAGAAGTAGGAAGAACGCCATCCCAAACGAAACCTAAGTAAGAATTCCCTTCTGTGATTCTTCTTAAAATATATTATTAACGTTGTTCCCACTTTGTAAAATATGTATCAAAGATTTCTCTTTTACAGTAACTCTTATTAAAGTATGTAATATTTTTTCCCTATTTAATAAAAAATAGATAATAGGTTTTTATCCTTAATAAAAATGTGTTAACATAAGCCTAAAGTTTGAAATTTTGTTGATCAATTGAAATCAGGTTATTGATCCATGTCTGTGATGAAAGAAATGTTTAATAGTGCTATAAGGAAGTGATCTTTGTATGCTAAATACTGCAAAGATAAACACACTATGTTATGCAATTTTAAAAGTTCGGATTCTCCAGTTTGGAAGCGGTTATGTCTGATCAGTTGGGAGGCTGAGCCTTTTATCCAATGGGGTTTGGGTAAAGGGGAGGTTAATTTTTGGCAAGATAATTGGCTTGGGCCAGGCTCTATTGATAGTTTGCTTTGCTCTAATACTCTGATTTCTACTAAAGTTAGCTATTATATTTCCAATAATAACTGGAATGTCATTAAGTTGAGAGATATTTTACCTGAGGATATTGTGCAGCTTATTTTGGATATTCCTTTGAACATGGATGAGTCTGACCGTATGTTCTTTAAAAACTCTACTAATGGCAATTTTAAAATCAATAAGGTGTGGGAGACTTTCAGAATCAAGAAGGAGGTTTCTAATGTTTTTGGTTCTATTTGGCACAATAATATTCCTTTATCCTATTCTATTCTTGCTTGGAGGTGTATTAAATGTTTTATTCCGGTGGATGCTCGGCTTTGGAGCAAAGGTTTTTATCTTCCTTCTAAATGCTATTGTTGTTGCAATATTGAAAGTATTAATCATGTCTTTCTTTTTGGTAAAATTGCTCAAAAAGTGTGGAGATATTATGCCATTCTTGTTAACAAGCCTATTCCTTTTTTTGATCCCATGTCTATTAATAGTATCCAGGTCTTTTTGGCTGGTTGGACTTCCACGGTTAAAGGTCATGTTTTGAATTTACTTTCTATTCTTATATTATGGTTTATTTGGAAAGCTCATAATGAAGCTAAACACAATGGTACCAAAATGGAGGACAAGAGTATCATTTCTAATATCAATTACAAGTTGCTTCAACTTTTTGCTGTTAAGCTCATTTCGAGAAATCATTTTATTAACTGTGATAACTTGAGTGTGAACCTGGGCATTCCTATTCATAATGATGTTTTAATTAGAAGGGAAATGATTGTTAGATGGCTTAAACCGATACACCCTTATCTGAAGCTTAATACTAACAGTTCTGTTGATTTAACTTGTGCTGGGTATGATGGGATTATTCGTGACAATGCTGGTAATGTGATTGTGGCTTATGCGGGCCCTTTAATTATCTCCGTGTAAGATCATTTTCACGGAAATTATGGGTTTATTGAAAGGGCTTCAAATTTGTAAGAATAGAGGTTTTATGTACATTGAGGTGGAGGTGGATGTTTTAAGTTTATTGCAAATTATTAATAACATGAATGTGTATTCTCTCCTGTTTTTTTACTTTATTAGAAAGATTCGTATGGCTCTCTCTCTTTTTAATTATTCGATAAAACATGTTTTGAGAGAGGGAAATGCGTGTGCTGACTACTTAGCTAAACTTGGTAGTAAGTTGGAGGAGGAGAGGGAATTTGTTTCTGCCAATATCCCGCATCTTTTGAAAGGTTTGGTCAACCTGAAAAAAATTGCATGGTTTGCCGTATATTAGATATGGATGATTTTTTCTTTTCACGTTCCTATGTTTTTGTGGCTGCTGGGCTTTTCTTAGTGGTTTGTCCCGGTTGGTAGTTTTTTTGGTTCCTCTGCTGGTTGCTCTGGCCGTGGTTATGCTGATTTCTTTACCTGAGTACAATTCTGCTCATATAAGCTTCAAGGTGTGTAAGGTTCCCCTTTTGTTTTTGTTTGATTTGCTGTTGTTTTTTGGTATTCATTTTTGCAGGAAGTTTTCCCTGAACGTGATTTATTTGAGCTTCCTTTTTTGGGTGATGTTGTCTCATAGCCCGTGTCTCTTATTAGGTGTTTTTTGTAATCTTAAAAAAAGGAACCACTGGCTCGTAGGTTTTATTTCTTTTTATCTTGTAGCTCTTTCAAGCATTAGAGAGCTGGAGGGGAGGTTCCTTCTAAGGACCTTGTAACTGCTTTTTTGAAATTAACACGTAGGCCCCTCCGAATCAAAAAAAAATTTGCAAACTTGATAATGAAATGAAGCAAAGTATGTTGTTTCCTATAAATTTTCTTCATTATTTTTTGAAGCTAGGGTTATAAAAATGGCTTTTTAACAATAATAAACACAAAGCTTACTAACAACAGCTATTGTATTGAAAATAAGTTCATCAAGAAATTTCATTTTTAATTTTATCAAAATGTATATACAAATATAGTGTATGGCTACAGACTGAATTACAAAACATATAAAAACTAGACATTATAAAAACTAGCCCTAATGAGCAGAACAATATTATTTCAGAATTTCACCAAATTATTAAGGATTATACATAACACTATTTTAAGACTTTAATTGAACTACAACATTATTTTTTAGGTACAAGATCATTTTTCATATAAGTAAAAAGGTGCACATTTAAAATAGCCAGTGTAAAATTTCAAAAACAACACCTAAATATTCAAAGTTGATGTCTCTACAACATACAAAAAGTTATTCGGTAAAAATTTTAATGCTATAAAATTATACTTGTTTTTAGTTACGAAATATAAATTTATTTGGAAAATTCAAGAAAAATAATATTTTGAAAAATTGAGATAGACAAAATGTTACTAATTCGATCAGAACAATTCTCAAAACTAGGCCGATATGTAAAAACGACCTGACGTCGCCCAAAAGGACTTCCTTTCTCTAAGAATCTCTCCAAACCTGACAGCAACACAGCGCGTTCTACAACGCGTCCGCATCCAGACTGTCCACACGTCAGCGAGGAAAGAAGGTCGTTAGATCCGCACATGTTCTGGCTGATGGTCCTGCAATTTGATCTCGTTCAAGAGATATTAGACGGCGGAATTCAAATCCCGCAGTTCTGAACCAACAGTAGAGATCACGTCGGACAAGAAAATCGACTACAATGTTGGATTTGAGGTCAAACAAACACTCGGGACGTCTAGATCACGACCATTGATCGCAAGCTCAATAGTCCACAATTTATGTAATTAACTGGTTACATAAATCGAACCATAGAGCCCATTTTTTAGCTCGTTCTCTCGATCTGATAAATCAAATCACTTGAGATTTTAAACCTAAACTTTAGAGATGAACATAAATGATGGGGGACTATTCCAGCTACTTGAAAATCACTTTGTAAAAAGCTAATTAGATATAAATCTATTTATTTAGGGATAAGGTTTCTATGAGATTTTACCATTAGATCTTCGGGATTTTGATACAGTTGAGCTTGTAAATTGTCCTTATATAAGTTCCTAATTGAAGCTGTGATTTGATAAGTTGTGGATTGAGAGATCTTGACCTTGGATAGATTTACGCCTCGGCTCGCCAGAGATCTCATCGTTGTCGACTTTGATCGATGGGATATCACTTGGAAGTTAGAAGGGGTATCTAGGGAGCTTTAAGGGACTGAAGGCTAGGCTTGAAGAGGTCAAACCAAGACTTGAGCTTGGGTCCAATGGATCCTAAATAACATTTATGATTCATTGGAATATGTTTTGGTGAATAATATGAAAAGACCCTTAATCAACACAGGGTCAAAATGGGTCTAGCAATGTGTAGTTTAATGGTCAAATAGTCACAACAAAGGTCATGGATGTTGTTGGGAAGTTTTAAATGGGTCCCAAGGTCAAATTCCACTGGATGACATGTCTAGTGGCACATGTTATAAATCTTTAAAAGTTTTGCAGCCTTTAGAAATCAAACTAGTTTCTGAGGTTAGAGTCCTCCAAATGAGCTCAAATTTAGAGGATTATCACTAGAGACATGTCATATTAATATACAATTGATATACTCTAAATCAAATGTCAACTGATTAGGTTTCAATGTGATAGAAAAATCACCTATAAGGGATTTCAGGACCTGGGCCCTTAACCCAAAGATTTGATTTGGAATGTCACTACAGGAAAATCAATTATTTCCAGTGATTTTTTATGATGGAGAATGGTCTTTTTTCGGCGGTTTTGTTAATTTTTTACGGCTTTCTGACGGCAAATTTTCCATCGGTAAAACAGGAGCCGAAAAAATATTTCCGACGATTTTTTCCGGCAGCAAATATTGCCGGCGGTTTTTTGGCGGTAAAAAAGCCGCCTGAAATAATTGAATATTTAATTAAAAAAAATCCCTGCCCTGCCCTACCCGACTGCTCAGCAGGCAGCTTGCCCGTGCTAGCTGCCCGCCCAGCACGAGCTTAGCTGCCCGTTGCGCCCTCGGTCTCCCGCCTTGCCCGCCGTGCTTCTGCCCAGCCCGCTGCAATTAATTAAATTAATAAAGAAAAATCACCGAAAAAGCTTGAAAATCCACTGGAAATAAAGCCGTCGGTAAGCCGCTAGAAAACCGCTAAATTTTTTCTGAAAAATTAGGTCGCCGGCAAGCCGTCGAAAAGCTGCCATAAAGATGGTTAAAATTGATTGAGCATGATTGAGGTTATTGACTGAAGATTAGGTTGATTGTTATCGAGGGTTGTTTTGAGAGTTGATTGGGATCTCTATGGATGACTAGTGTACAACTGTCCTCCATTGGATCATCAATTAGGGGATTGGGAAATGTCCTGATGATCTCATATAAAAATGAGGTTAACATA